TTTAAAACTTTTTAAAATCTATTTTATATATAGTGACTAACATTTGTAAATCTCAAACTCCCAAATTTATCCCTTCCCACCCCCTTTCCCCACGTAAGCATAAGATTGTTTACTAAGTCTGTGAGTCTGTTTTTGTTCTGTAGAAGAGTTCATAATGTTCCTTTTTTTTTTTTTTTTTTTTAGATTCCACATATGAGTGGTATCATGTGGTATTTTTCTTTGTCTGGCTCACTTCACTTAGAATAATGATCTCTAGTTCCTTCCATGTTGCTGCAAATGGCATTATTTTATTATTTTTATGGCAGAGTAGTATTCCACTGTATAAATATACCACAACTTCTTTATCTAGTCATCTGTCAGTGAATATATACGTTAGTCTCCTCTTCTTTTGAGAACAAAAGTCATTGAGTTTAGGGCCCCACTCTAATCCAGTAACACCTCATCTTAACTAATTACAACTACAAAGACCGTATTTCCAATTGAGGTCACCTTCTTTGGTTCTCATGGACATAAACTTTGGCAAAATACTGTCATGGGCTGAACTGTGTTCTCTCAAAATTCATACGTTGAAACCCTAACCTCTGGTACTTCAGAATATGACTGTCCTTGGAGACAGTGCCTTTAAAGAGGAAAAGCTAAAATGAGGTCATTAGAGTGGGCCCCGATCTGGTATGACTGGTGTCCTTGTACGAAGAGGAGATTAGAGACAGCAGGAGTGTGCACACAGAGAGGAAAGACCAGAAGGTGGCTGTTTACAAGCCAGTGAGAGAGGCCTTGGATCTGGGCCTTCCAGCCTCCAGAAGTATGAGAAAATAAATGTTTGTTGTTTGGGCCACCCGGTTTATGGTATTCTGTTATGGCAGCCCAAACTGGCTGGTAGAGACCTTAGATAACCCAGCGTGTGGCGGAGGGAGCCCAAAATAGGTTTCCAGCCAGATGTTTGGGTTATGCCTGTACCTTTGTCATCCTTTGCTCCATGTCCATTCCTACGTATGGAACAGATATGCCGCACTTGGAGGGTGGGTTGGCAGGGAATGGTGTGGGTGCTTTTACACGAGATGTCGTGAGGTGGTGGCACCCAGATGGACATCTGGAGGCCACTGTCATGGGGGAAATTGTGCTTGGGTGAATTACGGATTTGCCACATTGGGTGTTCTCTGAGGTCCCAGGCTCAGCAGACATGTGTACACACTAGGGAGGCAGATATGTGAGGGGAGGGTTGGGGTGAGGCAGGGGCCCCCTGCTCCTAGCCTCATTATCCCTCTCCAAGGACCTCTGTCTCACCCAGGCCAGCCCGGCCCCCTTTCTGCACCCAGTAAACATTGCTGGTTTGCTTTCTCATGAATATGGATTTCCATCATCCCTCACTAGGGATAGATGTTGGGGGCAGAGCTGTTGATTACATTTCCAGCCAATCATTGCCCATTAGCAGGGAAGAGCGGTGGGCATTATGCCTCTTCAGTGAGGATCCATTTGCATTTGGTTGGGCCCCGCTTTCTTTCTGAGCATCCACGGACCCTCAGCGCACTCAATTACTCCTGCATCCGGCTCTTCCTCTGTGATGCTCTTTTGCTTTCTAAGTGTCTTGATTGGACTCGCCAAATAGCTTGGTGCTAACTACAGCTGTTTAGCATATCCCTGGGTGGAGGGTGATAAGGACATCAGGGCTCGGGGTGGCTGTAACCAACGGGAAACAGATACCTTTTCCTTTCCGTCCACACTTCTCCCCACCCCCTACTGAAAGAATCTCCTGCTGTTTGAAGGGAATACCCCCAGCAGGCAGTGGGGTGCCTGCTCGTACATTTTGCATCTTTTTAGGTGGGGGGCTGGAGGCCCTTCATTCCAGAGTTCTCTGTCTAGTGCCCTTGCACCTGGGGGCTTGGTTTCCTGGCTGCTTTGTGGGAGGGCCTGTGGGTCTGGCACAGATAGATGCAGTTTCCCTCGCTACTTCTACTAGGAAAAAGGCGGTGGGCAGTGAGTGGGTCTAAGGAGAACCCATTGGGAAAACGGTTTTCCGTCCTTTCCTGAGTATAACATCAGAGTTCTTGGCCATATGGGAAAAATGGGGGCTTGACCCGCCAGACAGGCACTTTCACACCCTGTTCACAAACTCTTATAATCAACAACGTGTGACCACAACTGGAAATGACAGAGGGTCTCTTTCTTTCACAGGATCATGTTATTTCTAACCCTCTTCTGCTCCCTGGTCCTCTGGATAGCCTTTCTCTAGAGTCAAGAACATTTATTTGCTCTCGTTAAGGCTGGAGCCCTTCCCCCGCCCCCTCCTCTGGGCATCGCCTGTGTGCCCCCCCACCCCCAGCCCCCCCCACCCCTCGCTGTGTTACTAGGGATGCTGTTTTGTTTTCTTTCGTCGTTTGTTTGGCCTCTTCAAGAAAATGAAAGTGAACACCTGAGAGAGGGAGAGAGGGCGGCAGAGGCGGAAGAGACCGTGAGCACCAAATGATCTGAGAATGATAAAGGAAGGTTACCTGTGTGTTTGTCAACAAGAGGAAATAAATAAGAGCAAAAAAAAAAAAAAAAAAAAAGGACAGCAGTCAAAGGCAATCAAATATGTATTTAATTAAAGCAAACATAAAAATAAAAGTTACATGTTGAATCAATAAACAGCACTTTTTTCTACATGCATTTTGAACAAGACAGATCAGAATCTTGCCTGATGAAGACATAATGTGTCATAATAATTAGGAACACAGACAAAAGAACAGCTAATCAGCATGCAAATGTATGCGGTTCTGGTGATTCAGATGAGGCAGATTTCTACCTCTTTTTTGCTTGATTCATCTTCATTGCTAATCATCTGAAGGCTGCCAAATG